TCATTTTGTCATAAAGACGCGTCACCCTTAGCAAGAAAAAATTAACTTTAAATACTACAATACTAGCAACAATATTAGTTCCATATTTCAGAAATAATATAAGCCACAACGTGAATAAAACTATTAGAAAGTACTTGTTTGTATTGACACCATCTGCTGACAATAAAATGCAATTAAGATAGATTCTTCACGGAAGCATCATCAAAATTTCATCTTATAAAGCCGAATAGTTATTGTTTCTTGTATAGAACAATATTAAATCGTTGACTGAACAGGGGCCAAAAACATAACCAGACGAAGTGTCTAACTGGCTGAAACCCGCTGAAAACAATTATTAATAATTATTAAACCGCTGAGAACAATTATATTAATAACGAAGTGTCGTCAGCAATAAAAATCTAGTCTACGGAGAGGGTCAAAATTTCGTTGTTAAACATTTTTAGGTAGCAATAGAATAAGAATAAGAATGACGGAGAAACATGCACATAGTGCTCTGTCTACATGGCGTCAACAACTGCATATAATAAGCGTAGTTATAGATTTTATTTTGTAACAAGGTGGTAACTTAGTTTGTTCATGTTGAAATCACTGGTCTCCATATTTCTTTTCCACTATTACTATTTTTATTAGTACTAAGTATGAGGCGAACGAAATTGGTTATTTTGATCACTTCAGTTCTCTTAACCAGTCCTTTTAATTAACATGCTCATCTTGAATGGTTTTATTTTGTTTTATATGTTCTGTTATATGGTGTCAACAAAAATGTCTGCAATCAGATTTGTTCAGATGGAGACATTTTATTGTGAATCCAGATGTCTTAACGTCTATTTCTTAAAATCAGGAGATACTGGTCTTTGTTTATTTAACGAAACCATCGTCAGCATATAAATGTAGAAGTCAAAAAGTTGCTTGGTATAAGTTATTTAAGAAGAGGATCACAACTCACTTTGTCCTTTGAACTGGTGGTGCAATCTCAATAAAATTCTGTAGAATATATTCCATTCTTCTTTTTTTCACAATTATTCGATTTAAACAGGTCATTGGACAGATGTGACTACTCGCTATAGTTGGGGGAACAATGATTAATAGTTTTGGTTTTTGTTTAATAAAATGATGCAGAACTATTAAGTTCAACGCCATGGAAGGACAATATCTGTTTTAAGTTGCAAATTTTTGAAAAAAGTATTTATAACTGAAAAAAAAAATGATTTTAGGTTTTCTCTGACCAAAATTGTTGACATTCGAAATTTTTATTTGAACTATAAATTTCATTAAAAATGTACTTGACTTTGTTTCCATTATTGAAACCGGAAAAACTTTAGAAACGTGTCTAAATGTTTCTCAAATTTCAAGTTAATTTCAATTTAAATAAAATTGAAATTTTGAAATTTGTCAAGTAGCTAAAATTCTTAAATTAAATATTTTATTTATTTTATTTATTGGCTAATTTGTTTGCCATTTGTTTTAAGTGCTGTCGGTAAAAGTTACAATCTTTCTAATGAAATAAAAATAATACCTAAACCAAAATATATTCAAATTGCTTCACTTTAGTTAGACTTACTTGACTTTTATCCAACAAATACATTCATACTTGTATGAATAATTGTACATTTTTACATTTCTATTTATATAAAAATTATTTGTAAACCAAAACTTAAAAATAGATCTACTTTAAAATGAATTTCTCTGAACAAAATTTTTGCTATGCATTTTGGCTACAGAATGCAATCTGCATTTGTCACTTGTAAACCTAAATTTTACTCTAAGTAATATGTGTGGTTTATATTTTAATAAAATTTCCATTACTATACATTAACATATATAACTATTACAGCAACAGATATGATACTTCATCGTAAGTATTTTTAGGTATTCATATATTATTCAACATAATAAATTCCGCAATGGCCACAACAACAAACACTGTTCGGTTTTCTTAAGGCTTAAGACAATGATATTATGTTTAATTTAAGCCTTTGTGAACAAATAGCTTTAAACAACAATTTGCGGTTAAACTTGTCATAACAATATGAAAACTTTTAATTAAGTCAAAAACTGTATTTCTGTATTTTAAATGTGATTGCAACGTATTTAATGAAAACAAATTGCGGTCAAAGAACGCACGAAAGTGGTAAGCACTTCAGGCAACAATAATATCTCAAGATAGACGCTAACCATACCACACTCTGCCAACACTAAAGCTCAGATATAAACAGATGACACCGAACCTTAACAACGAAATGATAAAGCACGTAAATTTATCTAATTAAAATAATCCAATTACGAAGGCATCTTCTGGCATGCAGCAGTGTTATTTCATTATTACCGCAAGGTAACACGGGCAAAATACTAAATATAGTATGCGATAAAAAACGGAGCCGGAAACATAACCACAGGGAAATGCGAGCGTCAGGAAGGTCCTGAAAGAAAAAAAATCTTCAAATTAATGTTGACAAACGTCTCCGCGGGGAACGCACTAATTAATTACAAATAATGCAGATTATTTATTTATTTCTCTTTCATTTTATTTCTTAATTATCATTTTTTATATCGCTTTTCTTTTTTTTTGGTATTTGTGTTTAATTTTTTTGATAAACATAAATATTACGAGGCATAATTTGTAGCTCACTCATTCAGTGATAATTATTTTAGAGCTGTTGCTGTGGTCCTTAAAGTTCTTTTAATAAAAATAATAATAGACTTTAAAAAATAACAGAAACATTAGAACAAACTTTAATAGACACAAAAACTCTGAAATGGAAGTTGTGGTTGGATATAGTTTCATTTATTCATTCATCACTCTATTATCTACTAATTTGCTTTGAATGAGTGCGAAATTCGCTAATTTTATAGGATTAAGGTTAAGGAGTTTTTTTAGTTTACAATTTGGTTACAATTTTCGGTTTGTCGCTTTATAATGTTTTGGGTACGATATCGATTTCGTAGACATATTTATTCACCAACAGATTTTAGTGAAGTCAGCTATGTTTAACAACTTTTTCCACTACGCTATTTATCAAAATAATTCAAATCTAAAGATATCGAGGTTCAAAATTGTTAATAAACTCATACCTAAGAAAAGCCTGGGGACTTCAAACAAATATTTTAAGAATAAAACCAACGCCTCAAAATTTGAAAAAAAAGGCATTGTCATATTCTCTGAGAAACTCAACCTCTTAAAGCAGGAAAGATAAAAGTTAGTGCTATACAAGTTCAAATTAAATGTTTTTGCCACATTATAATACCTAACAGAAGTATTTATATTTTTAGTGACAGCAAAGTGAACAATAATTCCACATTTCGAAACATCTGAGCTTGTATCAGAATATAGCCCATATATAAATGAGATGTCAATGCAATCAATGATTAACCTGAAATAGAATTGTAACATCTGAACATTCCCAGCCATAACGAAGCCGTTGGATAGGCCAAATATAACATACAGCTTTCAATCGCATCTACCTCATTAGATTTAGTAATTCCTTTAACTTTAATGGAACTGATTAGACGTACAAAATATATTGAAATAGCAAACTAGAGAGAGTATAATGACCATACCTAACTACACGCCCGCCATAGTCTCATTATATCACATATGAAAAGAATTTTGCTAATATAAAGGCTCGCTTGTTACTCGTGGTCTGATAGCCGCCATATATATAGAACTCTGTATAATTACTGGATTAATTACAGACTCTTTGCAACGACTAGATTAGATAAGGAAGAGGAAAGTATAACCCAATTGCGCTGTCGCTTTCAAGTATTCGCCAGAAGATACACATCCAAGCTAAGTTATCCATTTATAAAATAACTGTACGATATCGCTAGTATAGGTATTAAAGACACTGTCTTTTTCAGCTACCAGCGGCAAAGTGATTTCTTGCTCCAATAAAGAGTTATGTTGAAAGGCTAAGAATGTACATATATGTATCATTATATATAGTCATGAATAAATATACATCTAAATTTCAGTATCACAACCGGTCTAATTAATGGGTTTGTCATATTTAGAAGTATTAGAACTTACATAAATCTAGTGACCTCTCTAATACCATTAAAGAATTCACCTCAACCATTTCCATTATCTCTAATAGACTATATAATTTTAACAAAGATGTTTTTATAATTTCTTATATCATTTTATCATAATTTCATTATTATCATATCATACTTAACAGAATATTACCTATGAAAACTGCCAGGTTTACTATCTACATAAAGTTATTAATAGTTAATTGATTTTACTTTGTGCCAATATATTCATATATGTATCTTATAAAGATATGTCTTTAAAGTTAATTTTAAAACTATAAAAATTATATTTACTCTCTTAACGAAAAATTTGTCCAAAAATGTCTTTAAAAACTTTCTGGAACCACTACAAAATGTTTATTATTTTTTTATTGCTCCTTAACAGTTAAAATTACTCAGGATAATAAATTATGCAGTTTTTGTGGTTAAATTGAATATAATGAATTTAACTTCAGCTATTTTGTTGTCTAAAATAATTTAATAAAATTAAGAAGGAAATATTTTTAATTATGCCTGAGGGAAAAATAAAATTCTCAAACTTTTTCAACTCGCAAAAAAAACGGACGCCGGAAAGCAATGGTTCGGAGTAGTGGGCGAAATTAAAAGGCTTTAACCACACAACAAAATAAGCCAAGCCATGTGGTGGCCTCTACGCCGTTCAGTGTTAATCAGCGTTGCCGAAAATTTTCACAGCAGAAAAAAAAACACTATAAAAGGACTTCTGAAAATATTTTCATTGAAAAAGTTTTTAATAATATATATTTTAATTGCATTCATATATTTTATTGAAGTTTCAATGATTTTGGACTATTTTGTTATAAATATTAGAAATAATTATTTATTCAAAACAAAGTTGCTAACTTTGGAAAGTTATTTTACACAAAATACAATAAGCTTAATATAAATAAAATTATTATATGGAATATATGTATAGAATTGATGTGTGGGACTTAAAGAGTTAATGATAATGGAACATATGAAACAATAAATTTCTCATAGTATCTCCCACTCAATACATAGTGCTACTTTTTCACGGAACTGTAATCATCTAAACAACCTCGAAAAAGATGATGTAACCCTAATTGGATTCCATGTCCGGATACAACAGATAGTGCAGGTAAGCCAATGTAACTGTACCCAATTCACATAGTTGTATGATTTAAGCGCAGGAGCCCAATTGGAGCTATCAACAGCAGTTCTTATTAAACGGATCACTAGATCTACACTGTACTATGCTAATGACATGATTAGTTAAGCGAAATATACCTAAGAAATAGTAGTCCTATGACCCGCCAGGTGCTATCTTTGAAATATATCTTACATGATCTATTAAAAATGTCTAGGTATTGTAAACTGGAAACTTCAAGTAAAAAAGTAAAAAAATAAAAGGAGATTAATGGCATGGGTCAGGTTAGATGGGAGTGGCGAACTTACATTAACCAAAACGAGTAAAACATTGCTTATACATCAGACCAAGAGGATGACCAAAACAAGAGGATCAAGAGACCAAGACCAAGAAGAAGGGCCAAAATAGTCGGCGCACAAACATTTTCGAAGATAACAGGCACGGCTTCTCCTTAAAAAAGGTGAACTAACCTGACAAACTTACAAGCTCGGAAATGTCTAGTTCATCCAATGATGATTACCAACTTTAAAATATTTAATAATACTTTTTAAATAGAATATACAACATTATATAATATTAATAGGATCAGGCAAAACGGCTAATCTATTTTCTAGACACACTCTTTAGACAACGGATTATAATAGAGTTAACTATTTTGAGCTACACTATATGTAAATTTAGTTTATTTCCTGAGTTATTAAGGTTGGATTTTCAAATGCTTTTGCATTACATTCATTCGTTATCTACCCCCAACTAGAATATACATATTATACATTGATCACAGAAACAGTTGTTAATACGACTATAAGGTGGAAGTTTGCTTATTCTTAACATGACAGTATAGATTAATCCAGTAGTTGGTCACTGTTTCCTCACTAGGTAAAGATGTTTTCGTTAGGATTTGTAAATAATCCAAACTTCGTTTTTTAACCAGAAAAATGGAAAATCCAGACTATATAATTAAGAGTGTATAAGATTCAGACATACTGAAGAAAATTTAGAAACTCTAATCGGTAAAGCTAATCCTTTCTTCATGAGGAGGAAGAAGGTTTTCATCAAGTTTTGCTTATAGAAATTAACAAAAAAGATATATAATCTCGGAGATAATTTCATAGCATTTATTTTTTAAATATGATTTTCGGTATATATACGCCGCGGTTACGAGATACATGATCCACTTCATCAGTCCAATTTTTGACTATTTTTTAAAATAAATGTGGCCTTAAGGTGTTAATGGTGGCATGGCCATTAGCTTTAAATGCTTTACGACTTGCTGGTTTGTCAATATAAACCAATGATTTAACATAACCCAATATAATAAAGTGCAACTAATAAAAAAGGGATGTAGTGGTGATTCATTAATTGCTTTTGTTTATTGACATAACCATTAAAGGTGATTCTTATGCAGTATATTTATATATAATTTAGTTAAAAAAATTGTTCGCAATAGTTGACTTTAATAAAATGGGTTGTTAAATAAGCGTGCCCGGAAAATCGAAGACATGATGACCCAATAGTTCTTTCTGCATTATAAACTCATACACATACTAAATGGACACGTTTTTTCGTATAAGTCACATTGTATCTAATTACTGTCTTGTAAACTATAATACAATTATTCAACCATTGAAAGTATTTTAATGTAATTTAGTTGTAAAAATATTACAATCTACGCCAGTAGTTATTTCTTATCATCAGTCTTATATGTTATATGTATTATAAATTTATTGCTGAGTTCAGTATAAAATATCAATAAAATCAATAAACATTAAAACCGTAAGTTTTAAAATGCACCTCAGTGTATATAATGCCTGTTATCCTCATGGATTGAATTTTCTAATTAAAAGTCATCAATAATGCATTTCGATTGTTGTTGCACCAACTGCATCGTACTGCATCAGACTGCATCGAACGGCACATTTGGTGCAACAACTGTTGCATGCTCGCATTACAATAGAAATCCGATGAGCAAGTTTCCGTATGCGGTAGAATCGCTGCACGGCACATGCCTCAAATACATAAAATCACATAAAATTTCACTTACAGCACAAAGTGCATTTTCATTTGGAATTCTGCATTTTTATTTTCTATCCATAAGCAAAAACAAATATTTTGTTGGGGAGCGGAATAGAATTCGGTTTTAAATATGAGTGCTTAAACTTCTGTTTCTTATCAAATATTTTCCTCTTTCACAGTTGCCTATGACTGGGCAATGTGTGCACTCGTACGTGCCGTAGATACTTTAAAATCTCAAATTTAATTTGCTTTAAATTACCTTCTGTGCATGCATTTATGCTGCTCGGCAGCCAACAAATCTGAATTTAGTTTATTTTCCATTAATAAAAATATTTCTAATTTGAAATCATAATTTTCAAATTTTTTTTTTTTCTATTTCACATAAGAGGTACCTACCAACACGTGTGGAACTTTGATCTACCGGAAAATATATTATCGAAGCCATCATAAAACTAATAGCGCACATTTTATGGGGTAACAGAATTCCAATGATTTAAATTGATATTTTATGTTCTCGTTTTTTTTGCTATCAATTTCAATTAAAAATTTAATATTCTATTTGAGTACACTTCAGCAATTAAATATTCTCTTTTTTGGGGTTATTATAAATCGAATATTTTCATATGGAATATTCAGATTATAAGCAATCTTCTATCGATGAGCAGAAATGTATGTGCTTCATGTCGCCACTAGAGCATAGGAATTGACAAATTAAAAAATGATATGAATTTCATGCTGTGTGGATAAATTTATTGTTAAGTTAATCTAGTTGCAATTATCGGAAAATGAATCAATTTCATTAAACTTCGATATAGTTTAAAACAATAGTGTTAATGTTATTAGAACAGACAAAGGCACATAGCCATCAGTGAGGTCTTTTGTGCTGTACTTAGAGAAAATCTGCAGAGCTAACCTACACAAATCTAAGCTGTTTAAAAACTAAACTTCACCATAAGGTTCAGGATTTCAGGAATCTTATTCGTTTTAAAGAAAACCAGATGAGGGAAATCAATCTATTTTCTGACAATCACACTATAGTTATTGTGTGTGGAGCTTTCGCAAGGCTACGAAATATTCGCACAAACACAAAATAAAAATTTTTAATGCCTGCGTTAAGTAAGTCTTGTTATACGGATCAGAGACTTGGCTTGTAACGGACGAGACTGATAAGACACTACAAACTTTCATCAACCACTGCTTGCGAAACATAATGAAGATATGGTGGCCAAGAACGATATCAAATGAAGAACTCTGGAGGCAAACTGACCAAACGTCTATTAAAGTTGAAATGCAAAAGCGAAAATATAGGTGGATACGCCATACCCTGCGTAAGCCTTATGAAGATGTAACATGGAATCAACAAGAAAGCCGGCGTAGCGACCAGGTGAACGCTTTAAAATAATTTATAGTAGTATGAATATTACTGAATCTGATTTATTTTAAAAAATATATAAAACCTCTATATCGAACTATTGTATAATAAGAAATACATATTTAGTACGGAGATACTGCTACCCTGTATGCAGATGGCTCATTCTTACTTAAAACCAGTATAGCGGGCAAACCAAGAAGTCGGCTTCTGAGGTTTAACCATATAAAATACTTGACTTTCGCCACGTTTACGGTGGGTTGACATTGAACGCATGGTAAGTAAAAATTCCACAGTCATGTTTTCATCTGGCAAAATTGGAAATGGTTCATTATTCTTTTCCTGATATTGCTCTATCATTTAATGATTAAAAAAATATTTGATATAGGTGTTTATACCATAAATGATGATACAAAATATGTAGTTACCTCGAAATTCCTTTAAAGTCAAACCTTTACCTGGTGTTGTATGCCCCTGGAATGTTTTCTCCGTTTTCTTATAAATTTGAGGATGATGCTCAGTAATTTTGATTAGATTCTGAATAATGTGACTCATTTTGAGGTTTTTGATAAAATCAATTTTTAATAACTTTTGTATACTTTCTTCAAATTTTGATGTTTTTAATCCCTTACATTTAAGAAAAAAGGTTATACAATTATGTTGATATTTAAAATGAAATGAAAAAATTAATTTTTCAATGCTATCTTGTTAATTCTTAATAAAATTGTATTAAATCTACTCACATTTAAAAGATTTCGTAAGATCTTTTATAAAATGTTTCGAAACAACTAGTGATCCTATATATAGCATCCTTATCCTCATGTCAGCACATCACTTTATAATTATATCTCATAATGTATTTCAAAAACGTCTTCGGCAGACATAATGGAATTCGTATTGCTAGATATATAGGTATCACCACAATAAACCGTGCATATTTTTCAATATCATCTAATATTTATTGGTTTATTGATACAAACCAGTGAACCGATCTCTTTATTTATCAGTATGTCTCTCTATTCAAGTATGTTTTTGTTTTCAATAATTATTTAATATTCTATAATTAAGTATACCTGAGTTCCTCTCATTTTACCATGACCAAAAATCTATCACAGAAGAAATAACACCTCTTATACGTTTAATATTAATTGTAAGTCCTTCAAAACAGACAGTTGCTTGATAAGAAGATGCACGACTAATTGACTGTTCTAAATAGCGACTTCAGTCGTTATTTATAAATACGACGGCGTAGAATATAAACTATGGAAAATTTTTTATATCGCTATTTGTTTTAATCTCGAGAAGCTCCATTTTTTTCACATATTTCTACCTTTGAAAATTTGTAAAGTTGGATGCAGTTGACTTATAACTGACATATGCTATGCATATTTATAAGTAGATACCAAAAAACAAACACTCTTGAACATCAACTACTCCCTAATATCAACATTTACAGAACTATATCAAATTATATGAGAAGACAACAAATGAATTTCTTAAGGAGAGAAGTTTCACAACAAATTAATAAAACTACAAATTCGAACATACAAGTCAACTACGACTTTGGGTGAGTCGATTAATAAGCACTGACTTTGAGCTTTGAATTTGACAGGGTACCAGTTCAACCTTTGGTACTTGCAGTCTCAAAAAATTATTGAAGAATAATTAAATATAAGAAATAATTCCAAACCACTATATGGTCAATCGAAAATTCAACAAATTAAAAAATAAAAAAAATTTTGTTATTACAATTTACTACTGTTCGAAAAACCTCTTTAGGGTATGAAGACTTCATTAAAATTTTTTTAATACTCAAACACCTGAATGAAGTCGTTACTTAATGAAGTCGTACGAGTAATAACGGTTACGTACACCACACCTAACTTTCACTAAATTTCATAGACTAAGTATAACTTTAACTGGCAGTATATAAGCCACATATTCACCGGTTAGTCTTTAGCCTGGTCAGATGGAGGTAAACAGCTACAAAAGTTTGTAGTAGGCATCATATAAGATGAAAACGCTTCGGACACCTCTTGATAATTTACATTCAATACTATTTTTAATGCATAAATATGGTTTGAAAATTACTTTAAAAACCGCATAAATTAAAATTTCGATAAATGTGTTTAAAAAATAAACCTTTTACTTTTAAGATAATTAACCACATTGGAATGCATGCATGAAACACAATTCCATTATCAAGTGCACTCTGGAATAAAATCAAATGAATTTAATTGAAAGCATTGGGCGCATAAGGACATTCGCTGCACACATGATCCATGGTAATATTAAACGAAAAAAATACCTTGGCATATCATTTCTTATATGCGGCAAATAACCTCAGTTCATTTTCTCTGTTTTTTAATCAAAAAATATTTGCAGACAAAGGAAATTGAAATGTGGAACGATGCATCCTTGCAACTATTTTTTCCACCTTGAAATTGTTTGTGTCTCGAAACTGATACGTAAAAGCGATGACAGTGGCTTGTACATCGGATCTTGAAGCGTTGTTTACATCAAAGCATGAAATAACAGCAACAAAAGAGTACGTAAGTTGCTATGCGAAACTGATTGTCAACAACACAGGATTTTTGGGCCTGTACGCGATGCCTTATTGACTGTGTGAATATGTGACTGTGTGACTGAGGAGCTGAGGAACTGGGGAACTGACTGAGTGAAGCGTTTGTGAAAGTCACTATTAGTGTGCAGCGCTTTTGTGTTGATTTTAAGCATTCAAAAGCATATTCTTGACTGAAGCACGTATTCATTTCTGTATGCAGACTGACATAGGCTCACATCAATACCATATCTGGATAAAGGGAACGAATACATGAGCTACCTATGGTGGCTGTGACGTTATTGTGTAAGTTTTTTTAACCTTCTTTTTCATTTAGGTGAGGTATTTGCAATTTGCATCGTTATAACGAAACATGGGCTTTCCAAAAGAGAACTTACATGCGAATCCTTTGATAATTTCTGAAATTCAAGGCAGTACAAATTTATAGTGATTAAATTCTTCTACTTTCGTACAATGAAACGTCTTTCCTTTCAACTCTATTTGTCTACTGACATACGTTTATTGTTAAAATTTAATTTAGAATAAAATTGAACATTATATTTGAAAGATGTAATTAGATCTCTTTAGCAGCTAGATATATTATTTTTTAATGCTAAAAGAAATATAAATATGAAACTAATATACAATGTATAATAACATATAACAGGCATTATATGAATTGTGGTTTTCTATGAAATGCTTTTTCTATGACTAATTCAGTTTTGAAAAAAATACGTGTGAGCCCTAACCCTATTTCAAAAACTTTATAAAACTAACGTTTTTAATTATAACTTGTATAACTTATAACTATGTACGCCCTTCCAAAATTTAAATTGCACCACGATGAGAATTACTAGGTCATTAAGGCCATTCCGACTGGTATTATAAAATAGTCTGTGTTTGGAGTCTTTATAGTTTTTAGTAGTAGTTTTTACAAAACCTAGGGTTATAAGTGGCAATTTGTCGTCGATAACGAATGACTTCGGAATGTTTATCGGGCCTTTACTAGAACTATATCTCTTTGGTCTTTAACTCCGCTCGGACATCTTTCGGATAGTTAAGCTACCAAATTTTATCAAGCACTTTAAATTTACAATTTATGGTCCAAGAATGCTAAGCTTTTCTCAAATACTTGGCGTGACTTGTCAGTCGCCAACTCATCTCGGTATCTGGATGGTACAACTGCAGAGTGGATAAGCATACACACTGCTCTCTGAAATTTATGCCATTTATATTGATATCATATTTGTAATGGCTAAACTTATCAAACAAAAATATTTAGCAATATATTACATAGTCGGCATAAGTGTAGATACTTTTCAGACTTTAAAGAATACTTGGTTCAATTTAAACAAGAAGCTTATACTCATTACTACGATATCGATATTACGGTTTTGGTACTGATAGATAACTACTCAGTACTGATATGTGAAAACCCATATTGTATTAGGGAGACATTGGGAAAAAACTTTGTTCACCTCATCACGACTTTTGTCATGGCTTCGACTCTAGAGAGAAGGAAAGATGCTAACCCATCATTGGCCAGCAGAAAATTTACTGCAGAATATCTTTGAAACTGCTTTCTAAACAAATTACAAAGGTTTCATTTTTTTTAAATTAGAAATATTAGCAAGTTTGTATACTTGTCAGGGTGATTTACTTTTACCTATATGGAACAGTAGTGCCTGTTCTTTTCAAAGTTAGTCATGCAACGACTCTTCAATTTTTATAACCCTTCTGGTGGTCTTCTGAGATCTCTCTCTGTCACATAAGTAACTCTTTTATTAAAGTGTTGTGCAATTACCTGTGTTCAAGTAGAGTTTGGTGTACGGGGCCATCACATCAATCTAACCTAACCATAACAATGTAAAGCATGGTTTTCTTCTGCTTATCTAAACAATTTTCAATCCATTTTTATAAGATTATGAAAACTAACATGACTGACTTTAAAACGATATTACTTAAAAGGCAATATGAAATTGAACTATATAGATTATATATATATAGATCATATATATATTAGATTATATATATATAGATTATTTATACATAGTTTATATATATATATGTTTACTTATGATACATAAAACTATCTCTTTCACATCCATTTTTACCATATAACCGCCATCCCAACTTTTCACTCTTATTAAATAAACGTTTAGATTTACATTTCCAGCGCTCTGATGAACTTTTATTTGTTAATAAATAGAACTCTTTTCTCAAAAATAAATTTGCTAATAAATTTAGAGATTTATGTAGAAATGTTAAAAACTGCTTTCATATTAACCGAAATTTTATGTACTCGTTTTCCGCTTTGTAGACTATTTTTATGGTATTATTTCAGTTCCGCTTAATGATTTATGTCTTCCCTAAAGGCGCCAATTAAGTTACGCACACTTTAACTTTATATTATTCTCTCTTCATGTTGTTGGGGTTTGATTGACGCTATTCCATTATTGTTGTTGTGGTTGTTGGTGTCTATTGTCAATCATTTCAGTAACTTCTTCAATTGATTTGATTGATACTCACAGAGCTTTGTACTTTGACAGACTTGGAGGTGTATATAGCACACAATTACACAGTCACACAACCAAAGACACAATAGTAGTACACAGGCTTATGGTGGCAGAGACACAGCGGAAACGTAAAATCACACAAGCAGTTGTCACTAATCCTTACACAATTTAGCAGACACTTAACATGTGTGATGAAGTGGCGTCTTTTACCCCCTTCACTGAGGCTACAAATAGTACTCCTACAAGTGTAAGTTAATTCCAGCACCGTAAATGGAACTCTTGCGAGGTATGAAAAATTTAAGTTTAACGCGGATTATACGATTTCTTCATATAGTTTGTTTATTTTTTTTTAGTGTATTTTCCCAAATACTAAAAATTTCTATCTCATTTTTTATGTTTAGCGTTCTAAGACATCCATCCGTAGTCTCGCATATTTACGAGTAGTAAAGCATATGTGCGCTGCTTATTCTGCTTAATATATTGATAGTGTTTGCGGAGCTTTAGCGCAGTACTGTGATTTTATCCTCATTTATATTTTATGTCAGTGACAGTGATTTCTTTGGTTTTGAAATTCATCCTTTCATTGAATGGAGTATCCTGCGGTGTACGCTCCCATTTGCGCTGTGTCAGGCATCTTTTGCATGCAAATCTGTGTTTGTGTAACAATGTTGCCATCGAAGATGAATTATGCTCGTTGACTTTGGTATGCATGTGACATATTCAACGTTTTATGACTTTTTTGTGTGTTTGTTTTGTTTTCTGTGTAGTTTGTGTATTCTGTGTATTTTGTGTATTTTGTGTCTGCGATGGTAATGCGTGAATGCTATCATGTGGCTTTCCTGTACATTGCTAACGAACATCATTTTGTAGTTAACTTAAGGATTTTATGAGTATGAAAACTACTTTTACTCATTATTCTGCGTATGGAAATCGAAAATTTATTATTGACATAAAATAAAAATTTTTATAGATTTAAATATTTTAGTTATGATACGAACTTATATGGAAATTTAACAAATAAAATGTTTCATTTAACCCATAAAACAACCAAAATAAACTTTTGACATAAAATATGATTTATTTTAGATTGTTTTTTAAAGTACACTTACAGTATAATATTTTTTTCAATTAAGTGTTATTACCAAAGACTTAATCCCAAATTCAAGTTTGCATTGTAAAGTCAATATAAAGAATCTGCAAGGCTTCCTGCTCTCTTCATATATGTTTAAACAAATTTTTGAAACGCAAATAATAATTTATTTCTTCCATCAGGCAGTGAATTTATTTAGCAAAAAAAATCTAATCCAACTAACATAATCCTAGGCTGTTTACCGAAAGTATACTGTGAATTTATTTTACACAAGAGAAAGCAAACTAGCTATAGGGTGTCGACCTTGGTTATCTTAAGAATTTATGTAATATGTGGCGAACCAATACAGCTTAAAGCTCTCTACCGTACTAACTTTTCTACCCTATGCTGAAAATAAACGTATTTTACTCTATTGTCGTACTCTATTGTCTTATATTTTATACTTCTTAATAGAGCAATGTACTTCTTTGAATTATTTTATTTAATCTTAGTGAAAAATAACAATTCAGGTTCGGTTTCTGAATATTAAATACTTAAAAAAATACAAATAAAATAAAGGTCTATAAATCAAAAGCACTTAAATCCTTTCTAAAATTTCCACCGAAACCAGATTAGGTATTCACATGGTCTGTTCAAGACTCTGGTTAAATTAGTTTATAACTTATTAGATGGCAAACATTGTTATTGTTTTTAATATCAAAGAATTGACCATATCCATCAATAGAGGAAGTTTTTGGTGTGTGGCAATAATACTTGATTTCGAAATGTAGTTGTACATAATTTTCCAAACTCCTCTATGGGACAAAGGCCTGGACGCTATCTGTTGCATCGATGAATAAACTCGAAGCTTTTGAAATGTGGTGTTATCGACGTATGCTGAAAATAAGCTGAACAGAAGGAATTACAAATAAAGTGGTACTTCGACGCGTCAACAAAGAGACAGAAACATTAGAAACAGTAAACCGACGAAAGTTGGAGTTTTTTGATCATATTCTGAGGCATCCGGAAAAGTACGGACTACTGAAATTAATCGTTGCAAGCAAACGTGGCTCTTCAGATATTATGGCTGAAGAATTTACGGCAATGGTTCAATAAAAGTATAAGATCACTTTTTCGAGAGGCTGCAGATAAACTCATAATCGCAATGATGTCAGCCAACGTTCGAAGCGGACAAGGTACCCAAGAAGAAGAAGAAGAGTTGTATATAGCAAAGTATTTATCACGTAGTAACTTTACCATTGTAATTTTAATGAATTTATTTTAAGATTTAATTACTCTTAATTGGAGTATACCATAGTAAGTACCTTAAACATTTTTAATCATTTCACACTACTGCTAATATAAACCACAGCCCAAACCTCATGGT